GGCCATGGAAAGGCATGAAAGGAAAAATCAGTCTCTTTGGCCTTTGAAATAAAAGGCCAGGCCTTGCAGCGAAGCCTCTTTCATGAGTAACACTGTGCAGAGAAAAGATACTCGTAGTCTACATGAGTTTGATTCCAGACTCAGTCCCCACTAACTAAATCATCTCTCTGAACCTCACCCGTATTTGTAAAAAGGTGTTAAAGTATCTGCTCCACAATGTGGTCTGGAGATCCAACATCAAATGAGATAAACTTTAAAGAAACTAGTTATTTCTGCCTCATAAATCCCCCACAGGGGGTTTAAGGGAATATTTGGAAAATTCCTGTTTTCTTCACTCATGACTCAGTGTCTCGCCTCTCCAGACAGATTTGGGCTCCCACAGGATCATATACACAACTATGTTTAATATTCTTTCTGAGACAGAAATACCTCCTTAAAGGTTCTCCTGGAAACTTTATCAACCAGGTACTAGACCTATGTCTTGGGCCCATCATCCCCTGGCTCAGTGTCTTGACTTACACTGGCCATTTGTGTTATATTTCACGTTTAACAAAACTAGAATAGCTTTACAACTCTAAAAAGGCAAGAGCTGGGCAATACAGAGTCCATATTGTCATCCCCATCTTCTACAGGTAAAAAAACAGGCTGACTTTCCCAGATCAACAGCAAATGGTAACTCTGCAGACAGACACATCCACAGACTCGCACTCTGACATCTGTCCCTCTCCAGCGTCCCCTGAAAGGCAGCCAGCACAGTGGAGCACCTAAACCCCAAAGCTCTGGGTCAGGTGGGAGGATGGAAGCAGAGGCTGTTGTCTCCAAAGTTTTCCAAAAGTAGGGTTGTGTCCTCACAAGGAGGTCTGCGTCCTTTCTTCCTCCCTACTTCCTCCCTCCTGTTTTCCTTTTGACATCGAACATCATTTCTGCTCTTGATGTTTATTACACCTGCAGATGACCAGTCTCTAGAAAATACTCCATTTGGCTGTCAGCTCAGTGCAAAACCTCGTATCCACTGAGAAGTACCAGCTTCTTCCCTGAGATCACCCCTCTCTAGAGAAGGGTCTATGATCAGGGGCAGAGGAGCTTGGGCAGGAAGATACTGGACCCTAGAGAGCCCACAGAGGCCACTTTAAAATAAGCCACCAGAGACCTCAAATATACTGGCAGACCAAGGGGAAGCTTCCCTATGATACAGAAATTTCTGAGCCAGTCACAACAAGGTCGCTGGTCCATGCCTGAACTCCTGGGGTACAATTCTGGGCACTGGGTTATGATAGCCTCTATGTGCAGCTGGGTAACACCATGACTTGTTTAAGGACCAGAGAGGCAGGGCCCAGCACTCTCAGCTCTATACCCTGGCTCAGACTACCTCAGACCATGAAAACTGACTCAGGTTGTTTCCCCTTAAAGATCCATTTGAGATATGCCTCTTCTTAATGGGGAAGGTTTCCTGGGCAATCCAGACATGCCCAATGAGTCCAAGACCATATCTGAGTATGTGCTTCCATAGGCAGTCCTGAGAGATGCTCGTTGGTGTCCCCTCCCCACCCCGCACCCTGCAGAGGGCTACAGACAAGAACTATTATGTTGCCCTCAAATGTGTTGACAATCTAGGTTCTGCTTGGGTGGACCTAACCCTGCGCTGATTCTGTTTGGTTCTGGTTTGCCTGTCTGCCCCAAGAGAGGTCCTCATGCTCTCTCTTTCTGGAGGCTGGATGAAGTCATGTGTGGAGAAAAACAGATGGGAGCTGGGAGAGCAGCACTAAGCAGGGATGGGGCCAGGCCAGGCTGAGGGGTCCATGGCTTATAAGTTGGATGAAGAACTCACTCGTCCCCCTTGGGCTCCTAGAGGGAGGCTAACATTAGTCAGGAGAATGGCCGTGGGGAGAGACAACTCAGTACTTAGAGCCTATCTAAGCACAGGGCTTAGGCTATGCTCACTGGATTTGGGTTTCCTTAAGTCCTCCTCCTGCTATTCCAGCTAGCAGAGGGGGCAAAATATAGAGCAGAGACTCCAGACTGGAGGTCTGCAGGTCAGGCTTGACCTATAGGTATGTATTGTATCATTCATGCAGCATTTTTAAAATTTAAATAAGCTGTCAATATTTTAAAAATAGACATATTTAAATCTTTAAATTTGGATTTCCAGCTTCTTGTGGAAATGAGAATATCTAGCATTACCAGGCCTACCTACATGGGCAATCAACTGGAGGTGAGTAGCAGCTGCAGTAGCAGCCAGGGTGGATTCAGTGCTCACGGTGGGGTGATCGGGAGCAGCACACCCAGGGGAAACACCTCGTCCACGGGCAGTCAGAAGGCCCTGTGCTAAGACAGTGAAAGGATCTCCTTCAGCCTCCCAAGGCTATTGAGCAGGAGGACAGGCTTGGCTCAGGGCAGGCATGGTCTCTGAGGCTGACAGAGAGAGGCAATTGCTTGCCTCCATTCTCCGCCTCCAGGCCATGAGTCATTCTTGCTCCCATCAGCAGAAGCCAAGAGCCCTACAGCCCAGGATATCTCAGGCAAACCCGGCAAGTGTTTGCCTGCCCCCAGTTCGCAGGACACATACGCACTCCAAGCTGTAGATGGCATTGCATAAGCACTGTGGTGTGACAACCAAGTGCCTTTACAGACAGCATCAAGCAGATTTCAGGAGAGCGGCAGCATGTGCGGCCGAACATTCATTCGGCTTGGGATTTGGAGCTGGGAACTCAAAGATTTCAAGTTCTGGTACCACCAAGCCCAGCAAACACATGAGTGGGAGCTGAGGCTCAAATGCATCCTATGACCTGAACTCACAATGTGTCAAGACGGGAATATTCCACACTCTTATCGCTTTACCCGTGAAAGACTGAGAACACAGTGAAAGCTTATGGGCATAAAAAGAACTTGATCAAGTTCAGAAGACCTTTGAAACCCAGAAGTGGCAAATAAAGAGCTACCATACTCTAATATATACAGGTCTAGACATCCACCTCTGTGGCACGTGGTACATGGTACCACAAGCCTCATACCACACTGGTAGCACCCAAGAAAGAGGATTTAGAACAAACAGGATATAAAGGGTAATTGAGGTTAAGACTTTTTAAAAAGTCTAAAATGCCATCCATGGGATAATGCTCACAGCCTCTCCCTGGGTGGTGCTGGGCACCAACATCTCCTTGACACAGACGCTGACAATGCAGCAGAAACACTGCCATGGAGAGGCGTGTAGAGCGGGCCCAGGGGAGAGGCCGGGGCGGGCTTCAGATGACTCAGGCACTACAATGCAGCCATTCTCTGACCTCTCATTATGTGGTTACTGGCCAGTGACTACCTTCCTGAAACATCAACCTTCTGACATTTTTCTGACATGTTCCCTTCCACATTCAAATTTTCTTGGTCTCTCTCTGGACTGTTTACAACACTCCATCACCTTCCTCCCTTACCCTTCCCACCTCAAAACGACACCTTGTGCGGACTTGAAAATACAGTCGAGTGGGTTACGTTATGCACCTTTTATGAAAATGCTTTCCTGCCATTTGAGATTTTTTTCTATCAGGCTAACTTCTTTCCTGTGTCTTCAAAAGATCCAACTCGAAAGGGAAAAAAAAAAAAAAAGACTCAACTGCTACTGCTACTCAGATTTTCAGAGAATGTTATGAGTAAGAGAAATGGCACATAATCTAAATAGGAAATCAAATGGAGCCAACAACATAGTAACTTATTAATCAGCAATGCAATGATAACAAACAGCTCCTGAGCTGCTGGAACTAGTTTTTATGAAGACATATGTGTAAAAATACTTTGTAAAAAAGTTCTTCAAATGCACTCAAACAAAACAAACACCAGAGCTAAGATGTTTATCCTAAGACTAAAAGTAAAATGCAAAGCCTGTGTTCATTACTATACTGTCAAGAAACAATCTAACTCTTATGCTGATCATGACAATAAAAAAAAAAATGCCAGTACTCTGGGAGAAAGATTATAAGCAGTCATCTATTTGAATCCACTTATTTCAAGGGACTAATTTTCATTCTTTAAATAATTGGTGAGCATCTTTCATGTGCTGAGGGCTATACCGGGAACTCACAAGGCATATATACACACACACAAATTCTAGTCATAGTTTAATTTTCAAAATAACTTAAAATGTGAAAACAATTTAAATTAGGAAAGTCTATTAATTAGATATGTCATATCAATAGATTTTATTTAAAAATCTAATTAGCTTCTCAACAAATTCTGAAAAGACCCCTTCCTAAACATTGTAGCTCATTACTTGTAATACAGTGAAACTATTCAGGGGTAAAAGAATGATTAAGTCAATTATGATACTTGGCCAAAATAATCTAAGTGATAGTAAAGATGACTACAGAGCAAAACTTAAAAATGAAAAAAAAGTCACTATATGACATCAAGCATACAAAATCTGAGGACTAAATTGCACTTTTGGTATGACAATGGCTTTGTAAATTATATGTAAACACAACAACAAGGACCAAAAGGAAATAAGGAGAAGACATTATTTGAATGGTAGGGGAGCAGCTAAATAATTTGTTTTTTCATTTTGATGTCTATTAAATGAAAATATTATTTATGTAATAACTTTTATCAAAGAAAACTACACAGAGCAGGCGGGTGCAGAGCAAGATGGGAGAGGGGGCACAGAATAAACCGAGAACTGACTTTCCAAAGCCCCAGATGCCAGGCAGTCAAACTGTGGTTCCTGTGACAAGAGGAGAGCTCTCTGGCCATATCAGGCCTGGAGAAAGTGCTGCCTGGGAATCTGTCTAACCAGCTCAACAGGTTCTCAGGCCAGCCCTTCTCCGCCCTACCCCCTCTGCCATTCTCAGTGTGCAGGCTGGTTTCACCTGCTGTATAAACATTATGCACTGAGCGGCCAAGCCCACCTCCAGGCAGAATGGGAAAGTAAGCAGTGAGAGCTGTAGCCTGGGCACACAAAGGGACTTCAGCACATGAGCTGCTCCAGAACCCCAGGGCCTTCAGCCCCACCGCCTTACCTGTTGAAGCATCTCCTCAGCAGCATTGAGTTTCACCTGGTGTCCTTCCAGACACACTTCCAGGTCCCGAATCTTCTCTCCTTGGGCTTCCACTTGATCTGTGAGGACACTCACCTGTTTCAGAAAATAAAGCAGTGGTACAGGGGCAAGAAAGTCTCCCCACCATAGGTGAGCCAGGAACCCCCACCACTGACTCTTCCATGAGGGGAATAGCTTTACTTTTTGCTGAGCAGTAGGTGGAGGAAGTGTCCTGGTCAAGGGCAGCTCCAGTGAGAGTCTTACCTTTCCAGGGAGTCTCGGCCCCTGCCTGAATGACATGCGTCACGTTTCCTGCTCTTGACAGACTCAAGAGAAAAACACTCAGCAGTCACAAGAGCTGCCTCTGGGCTGGACTCCTGCTCCTTATGTCTCCTGTAGGACAGCCCCTACCTTAAGGCATATCTCAGCTGGCTTGCCCAGGCTTCTGCCACCTCATGGGGAAGAGCGATGCAAACTTCCATGGAAACTAGCCAATGACCTTACCTCTCTTATAAGGGTGTGAGGCCTGCTCACCTATCAGGTGAGGCTTTTGAAGCAATTAAGGAATGTGGGATGTAAAGGGCATGTATTAGCATTGACAAAACTTGGCTCCAAAAAGGTTTTTGTGCTTCACAGGCCAAAACATGACTCTAAATCATAAATATAGAGAAGCCACATTGTATATACAATGGTGGGGAAAAAAAATTCATCTTTTTGAAGAACCCTGAGAATCTCTATTGAAAAAATATTAATTATCAGTAATAAAAACTCATTTACAATGCATCATTTAAACCAATTAAATTATGCCCTAAATGCATACTAAGGATGGTTTTCATAGCCTTCTCTATTAATAAACTGCCCCAGGATCCTTTTCCTTTACTAAGAGATGGCTCAAAGCAGGAAGATAAAGGAATGAGTGGCCTCCCCAAAGTAAAGAAATCAACGGTTGGTAAATTGAGATGCCTTAGACCCTTTAGCTTAGAGTCATTGCCGTTTACATATAGATTATCCTAACTTATTTCTCAGTCTGTAATGGAATGACAGATAGAACATGAAAGAGTTAATGTGAATTCACTTACGAATGTTTAAATAAACCTTATGAATTATAAAGTTCCTGTTTAAAAAGGAACGAATCTAAATTAATATAGCTACGTTTTTGCGATCATAAAAGTAGAAAGAACCTAGAATGTGACCTTTGTTCAATAAAAACAAATATTTTTGAGCCCTTACTACATGCTGGGGATAATTTCAGGCACTGGGGATACAGAAGTGGAAAAACAAAACAAAACAAAAACAGATAGCAATCCTTGCCTTAAAGAGTTACATTATAATGAAGTTATAAAAGATTTTGGTTTTGTTTTTAACTAATCCTGGAAACAAAGTATTTTGTTACATGTGATTTGCCTCATTCTTCTACAAGTAGACCCAGGAAAGGAAAATATTCTGGGTTAAGATCTCCAATTAATTCAGTCTGCCTGAGCAGCTGTGTGAAGGAAGCAAGAGGCTTTATCCTGCTGAGGATCTGTCTAACCAGCTACATGAGTCCACTAAGGAACAGGAGTGATCACATAAGAGCAACTCCTAGCATCTGCCCATAAGCTCCTGTCGGAATAAAAACTGCTGGGGGTCGACTTCTGACTTTACTGGCAAGTAACTTCCCAGTTGTGTTAGGATTATTTAAATGGGGATTATTCAAGAATTCAGAATTTTAAGAAACCATGAATGTAAAAGAGACCATTATTACACAGGACTTCTTTATTAAATTGTAATCCTCTCTAAATGAGCATGTGCTCTTTCAACCATGAGGGTCCTGGTTCAAACGTTTACAATTTCATATGTTTGCTGCAAAATTCTAACTAACTTGGATACTCTTTCATTAATCATGTCACTGGGATGGAGTTTCAAATTACATATCCCTTAAACATCTGCTCTACAATGTGCTATACAATCTGGCCCCTGCCACTTCTCTGAAGGCGGCTCCCACCACCCGTCCTCCCAGGCACCAACTCCAGCCACAAGGGCCCTTGCTGTCCTTCCCACATACCAGGCACAGTCTTGCCTCAGTGTGTGGGCTGGACTGACCACCTCCTCCACCTGGAATGCACTTCTTCAGGTATCTGCAAGCTCCCTCCCTGGCTCCCTCCTACCAGGGAGATCTTCCCTCTCTACACAATCCTCATTCTGCTTTATTTTTTTCCCATGGTACTTATCACTGCCTGAGATATTTTATGTATTGGTTTATTGTTCTGTCTCTCACA